AAGGTATTAAATCTCTCAAGCGAGAGATGCTATGGAGTATGATATGGACTGAAAATTTCAAGAGGAGAAAATCATAAAAATCAAGGAAATTTGTTGTGCTTATACAAGATATAAAAGATAACCATAAATTCTATCTGGAGCAAAACAAGAAGAAAGAAAATGCAAAAGAGAGTGTAGTTACTAAGTTGAGATTGAGAAGAAACTGAACATGGGATGGAGGGTGACGATACTGGCACTTACGCCTTGCTTGCCCCAAGTATAGTCGGAGCTTTAGGGGAGTACTGAGGACAGGAGAGCTTGGGGCGCCATAACACGCCTCAAACTTTTTCTGATAATACTTCATCCTCGTGGGAGATGAAGTTCGTTCGTACCCGGCTGTGAATGAGTGGCGCGGGTAGACCCTTGAGTGGGTTTCATAACTGTACTTATGATCTTCCTCCTCCTCTGAACTGTAGTGTCTTATGGCACGCAGCGCGGGCTCCTCAGGAGCCTTTCCTCCCCTACCGCCCTCTCCTTTTCCTTATCCTCGACGTGCTTCAAGCATGATGCAAGGTAGGTCACTACTAAACGACGTGTAAGAGGAAAGAGTTGCTTTAGCGAGAGAAACCCTACATTGTCACTACTATACTTGCGCAAGCGTTAGGAGAATTAGGTGTTAGCACTAACTCGCTACGAGAGATTCATTACTTTGATACTCAGAAATGAATGTTAGCATTACTAATTGTTACTACTTTATTCTGCTTGCTGGGTTTGTTTTGGCCCAACGAGGACGTTGGGCGGGGGTTTGGTATTATGTCGGACGACACGGTATCCCGACCCTTCGCGGTGTACCAGGCACACCTCATTCACGACCCTCAACATCATGCCAGACTCATCTTGTGCGCAACCTGTTCCTGGACTGGTCTGGCTGGCACTACCACAACAAAAAAAAGGGGGTTGTGCCAATGGACTTTCGTTTGGTCCACGTGAACTTGGCGCCCTGCTGCACATCAGAGCACGATCGGCCCGTGCTCGTGGAAGTCGACCTAAGATTATGCACGCACACAACCATCTCCATGCGTTCCCAATCTTCTTGGATGACGGACTACTTTGCGGATGATTCTTAATCATGTGCATTGCTTGAAGTGTTTCATGCCTCTTCCTCTGGGAAGTGGTCTGGGTACTTCTCGTCGGAGCATAAGACTCGGATTTCAAAAGTCGGGGCGTCTCCACCGAATCGACAAGTACCCTCCCCGTAGAACGGTCCACTCTGGGTCGATAACAGGGCCGGCCCCTAAAGCAACGAACCCCCGCCTTAGATTCTTCCTAGAGAAAGAAAATATGTCCATTGCGAGTAACTTTCAGTTATTCTCATTCCTAAGTTCAGGGTAACTTGGACAAAAAAAAATCGAAGGAGATAGAGAATGAGAACCATTTGGACAGGTATAGGTAGATAAGGTCATTTGGGATAGAAAGGGTCCATCCTCGGGAAAAGGCTAAGTTTATCTAACCTTATCTGCTTTATTTCAATGAAATTCGTTTCACGGTGCCAAAGTTTTTCAAAACAACGAATCCTTTTTGACACGCAAGCAGGTGAGAAGTAAAAAAAAGATAATCCTTTTCCCTTTTCTCAAATAGGCATAATCAATCTCCTTTGCAAGCATCCTTCTACCTACCTGCACAAAGCGCAAAGAAAACAAGTTCAAAAGAAACCAGTACAATCCCACACTCAAGTCGGACCTTTCCATTCACATGCATGACTCGCACAAATTTGCTTTACCTTTTCTTTCGAACATTCAAAACAACAAGGTCAAGCAAAGCGTGGGTTCACACAGGTGTGAAGGGAAATCTGAGTCAATCAACTGACCTTGAGTGAAGTTTGAATCGACTTACTCAAGAAAGCTGAGTAATACTCCAATCAAAAGAAAATGACTGCCACACAACTCCACGAGTTGTGGCCTTTTCATTGAACGACGGTCCGCGTCTTTTCCAAGTGCTCAAATGAGCAGAGGTTGGGCCACAAAAAAACTCAAGCAAGGTAGCTCTCCAGGAGGGTGTTCCCACAAACGAGTTTTCAGGTGGTCCCAATGTCCCAAACTGGTCCCTGCTTAAACTGGTACGAATGCCGCGGGTTGTCCTAACACAATCCCAACTACACTATAACCACCAAGGATACTCCCTAACCAGCCGCAAGTCCACGCCGCCTCGAATCACCACGTCCGCTCAAAATAACCTCAACAACCACGTGTGTCCCGACTTCAAGTTGGTCCACATTGGTCCCAAAATGGTTCCAGGTCGGTCCCATATCATCGCCCACATCACTGGATGGTTCCAACACCGAAATCGCTTGTACTGCGTGCCACAAAAAAAATAAAGGTGGCCCTGGCTCAAAACCGCATGTGTTGCGAGCCCCAATGACTACTGCCATGTGTACTCACTTCGCAATCTCTTCATACCGCCTGACCACGCACCACTGCCGCACGATCCCAACCATGCACCAGCGCTAGCCCAACCTCTAGGCCACATTGGACTCCACCATAACCGCTGCTCATATAAAAAAAAAAAACAGAGGACCACGTCGCTGTGCGGCACCATTGCCTAATCACACACAAAAAAACGGTTCCACCACACTGCAAAATTTTGGCAGCACTGCCCCTCGAACATAGTGTCGTTGACAAGCCGACACTCCGACATCATCTCCCCACCAAAAAGAACGCTTTAATGTCCCAGCCGCGCTGTAATTTTGGCAGTACAATTGCCCCACTAAAACTGTCGTTGTTGTCGTGCGTCCAAACGGATAGCACTTCCCCTTAGGAAGGCCTTGATGCTGCCGCACCCCCAGTCGGGCAGCACCTCCCTACTGAAAGTGTTGTTGTCGCAGCACCTGCCCAGACGCACAACGCACGCACAAGGATGGGGAAAAAAACTCCTAGCCCTCAGCTATGGCTGCCTCCCTTCTCCTCCTCCAACTGGCAGCACTGCCCCTCGAACATAGTGTCCTTGACAAGCCGGCACTCCGACATCATCTCCCCACCAAAAAGGATGCTTTAATGTCCCGGCCGCTGCCGTAATTTCGGCAGTACAACTGCCCCACTAAAACTGTCGTTGCTGTCGTGCCTCCAAATGGATAGCACTTGCCCTTAGGAAGGCCTTGATGCTGCTGCACCACCAGTCGGGCAGCACCTCCCTACTGAAAGTGCTGCTGTCGCAGCACCTGCCCAGACGCACAGTGTGCGCACAAGGATGGGGCAAAAAGCTCCCAGCCCTCAGCGCCTGCCCAGACGCACAAGAATGGGGCAAAAAGCTCCCAGCCCTCAGCTATGGCTGCCTCCGTTCTCCTCCTCCAACTGGCAGCACTGCCCCTCGAACGTAGTGTCCTTCTCCCCACCAAAAAGAACGTTTTAATGTCCTGGCCGCGCCGTAATTTCGGCAGTACAACTGCCCCACTAAAATTGTCGTTGCTGTCGCGCCTCCAAACGGATAGCACTTCCCCTTAGGAAGGCCTTGATGCTGCCGCACCACCAGTCGGGCAGCACCTCCCTACTGAAAGTGTTGTTGTCGCAGCACCTGCCCAGACGCACAGCGCACGCACAAGGATGGGGCAAAAAACTCCCAGCCCTCAGCTATGGCTGCCTCCCTTCTCCTCAGCAGCATTGCCAAGACGTGCTTGGCTGCTGGGCTGAATGCTGACTTTTATAGCCGGTCGATGGCTGTGGGCAACTGCTTTGCCCACAACCAAAATTTGTAATTGGCCTTGGCCCTTGATCTGAGCCACGATCAAGGGCCAGGAATCTTGATGTTCCCCTAGGGGAACCAAGATCCCGAATACCCAGAAGCATTTGGCTTTTCTCGTAGGGCAAATGCTTCTGAAAATGGTTGTATTCAACCATTTGTTGCAACCTGTTCAAAATGAACAGTTGCAGTATTTTCCCCCCTGCCAGAACCTTCCACCCCCTGCACCTATCCCACGATCGCGGCCACATACGCGGCCGTTTTCTTTTCTTCCCCTTCCTTATTATTATTATTATTATTTTTCTGTCTCCACCCCCTCGGTTTCCTCGTGAAGGGGACACTTCAGTCGAACCAGAGCCAAGCTCAACAGGGTCTTCATTCCTCCTGTCGCGCTTGTATCCGGCACAGGGAGAGCACCAGATCCAGGTGTCCGTTCGCAGCTCATTCCCAAGCGAACAGGCGCGCATGGTGGTTTCCATGATAGGAAGAGCCGACATTAAAGAAATCCAAAAGAAGAAAAAAAACGGGAAAGAAGAAAAGAAAGAAAAACAAAAGGAAAAAACTTACCTTTACCGTTGTGGCAGCCCGTGAAAACGGGCACCACTCTACACCGTCAGGGGACTAAAGCCCCTGTCTCATTTAATCGCGCCATATGGCGGTTGACTTTCCCCTTCCTCCATCACGCGCGTGTATCTGGCGCAGTTCAGGCGCCAAATTCAGGCGCGTTGTCAACAACCTTTCCCTGTCCGACCAACGGGCGTGGACTCAACTCGTAGGGAGGGGACTGAGTGGAAGTGTATACTTCCATGTTCTAGCAGTAGATTCATTCAATTTTGCTCATCCTATCAATGGAAGTAACGTGAGGCGAACTGCCAGGTTGGTCTCTCTCTCTCTCTCTCTCTCTCTCTCTCTCTCACACACACACACACACACACACACACACACATGTCGTAGTGTATAGTTCCAGGTCCTAGGAGTAGATTCATTCGATTTTGCTCTACTTGTCGATGGAAGTACCCTCTCTGCAGCCCATTTCTCTGAAACGAACGGGCGCAGAGAGAAAGCGGCAGCTCGTAAAACGAGACGAGGGGAATCTAAAAAAAAGACTCTAAAAAAAATCTAAAAGAATAAATCTAAAGCAAATCTTAAAAAAATCTAAAGAAGAAAAAAAGAAAAAGAAAAGAAACTTACCTTTAAAAAAAACGGTCGCCCGTTTAAAACGGGAACCGTCAGCTGAATTGAGGGTTGAAAGCCCCAGTCAGTTCTCACAGCGCCATCTGGTGCTCCAGCAGCGTAGTGTCTGGAATGGCAATTGATATGGCAGGAGTGGGCAGGATGGGCATGGGAGGGCAAGGGATAGGCAAGGGTGGTCAGGCGATGGGCATGGGTAACCAAGGGATGATCGGACAAGCGATGGGGAACCCAAGTATGGGCCCATCGAATCTTGCCGGTGAGAATATGGTAGCTTCGGGTAGTGCTCCAGCATCACTGTATGGGTTAGTGACGTGTTTCATATCCGGCAAGAACAGGCATTACGCCCGGAATTGTTGGCAAGTTGGGAACCGACCGAACACGGATGATGACAACTCGAGGATGAGGGAGATTTTTCAAAAAATGTCGTTGAGGGAGGAAGAGGAAGGGAATAGAAGACAGTGGGAATCCGAAGAGGCGAAGAAGGAGGAGAGGAGGGAAGGAGAGAAGATACGGGAGGAGGAGTTGAGGGAGGCAAAGTTGGAAGCCACAATTTTATGGATCTTGTCACAACGGCGTGAGCTAGTGATGATCGTGGCAGCACCACAAACAAGTAATCAAACAAGGAAGCGTTCGCCACGATCGAAGGCATCGATGCTGCAGGAATCAGCAGTTATACCGCCGAGTCCGAAGATGACAACGATGAAGTAAAGCTTGAGGCCGATAGATTTGATTGAGGCCCTAGGGACACGGAAGAAGGGCAAGAAGGCCACAAATCAGGTGCAGGGGGAAGCTAGCCAAATGGTGAGAAGGAGCCCTAAGACAAGGAGGGGGAAGGCGAAGGAAGTAGCGCCAACACAAGTCGAGGAAGGATATGAGACCCGAAAGAAGGCGTGCCCAACTGATGGCCTCGTTGAATATGCATTAACGCAAGCAAGGCACCTTAGCGGCCTAAAGGTGAATGAAGTTAGGAAACTCTCTGACCGTGAAGGGATTGAGTACATACTAGATACCGAAGGATCAAGCAGTCGAAGAACTGGTGCAGTGTCGAACCAGGCTCACATATGAGGGCTTCTTTGAGCGTAAGGTTCTGTTGACGTAAGGACAAAAACCAGCGCCTGGAGATCTAAACGCTGCATGAAGGTAAGTATGCAACTATCGTCCAAGGCAGCAATGAGTCGATTATGTGAGCTGACTAGGTGAAAAAAACGGAGGGAGACAAAAAAGGTCCAACCATTAATGAGAGGACTGAGGAGAATGGGCTAGCGTTATTGTTGCTGCTGTTAGCAGTTAGGGGCGTCATACCTTGGTTTAGGAAGATCTTGTGGATGGTTGATGTAAGCAGGATATATGTGAACTTACTTGGTGTATATATAGTTGTAAGCCCGTATTGTAGGTGTAGGAAAATATACATCGGATGTACAGTAAGTAGAGTTATTACTAGGTGGGTCGAACACGTTAGATGCGTTGTATCTGGGAATACTGGCAACGCACCAAAGCTGCACACGTGGCTTCGATTTTATGGATGGAATAACTATGTTGCTGTTTCGCTCGTAAGCGATGTACAGGACGGATTAGAGGTGGAGCGTGAGTTGATTCGGAGGTTCTCGTTGTCTCTAAACACCATTGGAGGCGTGAAGGACCGGGTTCGAAGGGGACGGCGAAAAAGAGGAGTGAGGGTGGGTAGTGCCCACTATTTGGTGGGTGTGGTTGAGGTCAACTATGAAGGGTGGAAGTATGCCTCCTTACTCGGGTTACTTGTGCAACTTGCCAGCACTAAGGTCGAGCTCGAGTTGGTAACAAGTGTGGGCACTATCTGGATTGAGTCATGGAAGAAGATTCGGGAGAGGTTTGAGGAGACAATGGTCGTAGTGAGTTGTGGTTCTTCGGGTCCTGAAGGTGGTTGCAACGCCGACGGGCACACAACGAAACAAGAGGTACCTGGGCGATCTACTTGCACAACCATGGCAAGTGAAGCATTTGTATAAGCTATCAATTAGTAGATTGGTAGATTTGTACAGGACAGCGGGACTGTTCTTCAAACATGCAACACGTTGCTGGCTGCTACAAAAACTGGAATGCGTCGTGAAGATTAAGGGAGGGGTTGACATCAGAAGGAGACTGATCCTTAAAGTCCCGTTCTCCACACAGATTGCCATGTCTGCATTGCTCGAAAAAATCATCTTGTTATCAATCCAAGACGAAGTTATTTGTTTTCTTGTGGTAGAGAGCATGACGGTCGCCAACGTCATCCACAATTTCAGCCAGACTCTGGAGGGAGGGCACAATGTGTGTGTGTGCGCAAACTTTCCATCTAGAACAATTTCAGGGGCACGGATGTACGAGGTTAGACGACATACCGGGGATTGACAAGTCCGTACACAACTCGAGAAATATCACGAGTGGTAGAAACGTGTCAGCCTACCAGCTGATGGAAAGGGTGTATAGTGCGCTTCGTAAAAAATGGAGGTTCGACATGCTATAGGCATGCAAGTGGCATTCAGGAGGTTGTGGGTTCAAGCCCCATAACTGTCTGTGGCGCACTTAGTGCAAACAGACTGTGACAGTCCTCTGGATACCCCTGATTGGTATTAGCAGGGTCTATGGCCAACACGGGTGTGAGTGCGAGAGCGAGTGGGTGGTGTGTGGTGTGTGGGAGAATGTTGGCCATAGCCTTTGCTGCTACTCGATGAGGGGTGGGGCACCCTCCTCTGCAGAGCACGGCTCACACCTACTAATTACCACTTGTCAAGTATCAGGTAGATGGAGTGAATCTTCTGCGAAAAAGTTGGGGGGACGCACTGTCGCACCCCCTGTTTGCATGATAGGCCGACTTCCGATTCATCTCGCATTGCCATCCCGGTCTTCGGTAGAAGCTCTCTCTCTCTCTCTCTCTCTCTCTCTCTCTCTCTCTCTCTCTCTCTCTCTCTCTCTCTCTCTACGCAGGGCGCAGCCTCAGTGTATGAACGTACCTGACCGTCTTCACGGCCAGGATTGTTCGTAATCAGCGAGGAGCAACGGTGGAACGGGGATGATCATGGCAAGTGGCACGGGCATCAGCCAGACAGGAATCACAACAGCGGGCAGTGGCGACATGGCCCTGCTACCAGTTTCATCAGATGTGTAAAATGAGAACGAATCTTTCCCTAAAAAGTGGAAAGATACATTGCACATTCTCACCAAAGGAAGTCTTATTCTCGGGCGCAGCCCCTGCTGGTCATACCGGCCAGACCGCAGGACCAAATCCAATTCTGTCTCGACCATTCACTTCGCAACGCCTCGAAACCCCCTTTTAGGTTCCTCCCTCGCTCGTTTTCATCGAGAAACGAGCGAGCTATGCAGTTTCTACTCCCGCTTTCCCACTCTTTCTTCCTCCTCGACTCCTCCGCTCTCTTACTGTTCGTCCCCCTTTCCCACTCCTTCCAACGTACCAGGGCACCAAACAAGACCAAGTTCATATCCCGGAAGCCAACCCAACTACAATGTCGAAGAGCAGCGAAACGCTGCTACTGCCATTCATGAGGGAAAATTCCATCAGAGAAGACGACGACCTCGTTGCGACAAGGAAGCTCTTAGCAAGGTGACGCCCCCTACCTCGACAACGACGACAGCTCAGTAGGAACAAAGAAGTTTTCAATTATTGCCCCTAAAAGAAGAAAAGAATATAAAAAATGATTTTTTTGCTAAAATATGGAAAGATGCATTGTTGCATCAACCCCCCCCCCTTCCTCGCGCAGCCTTAGCTATTCATGCCGGCCGAACCATCGCCCAAATCGGAAATCTGGCATAGCCATTCATATCGGAATGGTCAAAACCCCTATGTATCATCTTGGTTCGGCAAAATTGGCCAAGAAACGACTGAGATATGTCACTTCCGCTCCCTGCCATATCCGCTTCCCAGCAACTCCGCGCAGCATCTTACTTCTGCAGCGCCAAAACCATCCAATAACTTCGAATTCTGACTTCACCATTAGGTTCGCCATGCTCTAGAACATTAGAAGCGAGTCTTCATTCACCTGTTTCTGTCGAGAAACGGGCGCAAAGTCATCTTCTCTCCCGCCATAGCTTGCTGCTCCCCCGTCACTGCGTTTCCTCTAGTCCCGCAGGCCCCCTATGCAGATTCCCGTCCAGGTTCGTTCACCCTGTTCTCCTCTCCACCTACTGCCAAACTGTGCGCTAATCCCGTACAACGGACGGGTATCGAAGGGCACAGACCGCAGGCCGGTGATCGCCGAAGTCAAGAATCTGCAAAGGAGTGCGTATCAACTCACCTGCTGAATCAATCAGTCCCGAATGGATGCCGCCCAAGCGCCCGGCCTATTGCTCGGCCGTCACGGCAGTTCTGCCGCTGCAGCAAGTGGGAGGGCACCGGCCTTGCCACAACGCCTGCACCTTGGTAAAGTCCCAGTCCCACCTTACGAAATAAGTAAAATAATAAAAAAAATAAAAATAAAAGTAACGGTATTTCAGCATGCGGCGCAAGCTCCCATTCACCCACCTTCAGTCGAGTTCGAGCTTCAGGTCTGCATTTCAACAGTTTGTGGGTGTATCAAATGAGCGAGGCCCGCCTGCGGCTGTTCCCATAGGCCTATTTTTCACAGTGCGAGTGTACCAGTCTGAGCTAGGTCCTCAGGTGCTGGTCCCACAGGTCTGTTTCACACAGTCCGGGGGTGTACCAGTCTGAGCTAGGTTCGCAGGAGCTGGTCCCACAGGCCTGTTCAACAGCTCATGGAGGTACCGCTGACCTAGGCCCGCCGGCAGCAGTTCCCACAGGCCAATTTTCAGCAGTTCGCGGGTGTACCAACTGAGTTGGGTACGCAGCTGCTGGTCCCACAGGCCTGTTCAATAGTTCATGGGGTACCACTGAGCTAGGCCCGCCGTTGTTGTTCCCACAGGCCTATTAGGCTGTTATCCACAGTTCGCGGGTGTACCAACGGAGCTGGGTCCTCAGCTGCTGGTCCCACAGGCCTTCTCACACCCAACCCTCTCACTTTTCACAGCAAGCTGAGGTGAACGGGCGGTATATCCCCTGGCCATGGCTGCCCAGGCTTCCACCACCCCGCAGGTCCTGATGCAGATCTTGGCGGTAGTAGCAAATATTCAAATGAGAACTTTGAAGGCCGGCGTGGGGGCGGGTTCCATCTCACCTGCTGCTGGGATAGCCTGCTGCACAGCCAAAACTGTGGCAGCCTCCCACCGGTGCCCCCTGGCCCCGCTGTAGCAAATCTTTAACTGAGAACTCTGCAGGCCGAAGTGGCCTGCTGCTGGGACAGAATGGGCCGCGCAGCCAGCACTGCGGCAACCTTTTACTGGTGCCCCTTGGCCCCGCCCAGGCATAGTTCACCACCTTGCGGGCCCTCGCGGGTATACTGACACTCAACCCTCTCTCAACAGATTGTGGCTGGCGGACGGTGTGCCTGCAGCGACCCCCGCCACCCAGGTTTCTTTCCGCCTCGTGGGCTAATTACCCACTGGCTCGCATGCACGTTGAACTCCCCGGTCCAAGTTTGAAGACGGGCAGATAGAGAAATTTTATCAGCATCCAGGACACGCCGGAACCCGAGCAGGCCCATCGAAAGAGGCGCGTGATCAAGGTCCTCGACTGCCGTAACGACCACCCGTGTCCGACAAAGTAGTAGCCGAGCCACGCCCGTGGGGTCTGATGTCGGTCTCGGAACCGATTACCAAGTCAAAGATATCAAAAAATAAAAGTCGGAATAAAAAAGTAAATATAAAATAAAATAACAAAATAAGTATAAATGCGAGGTAACACAAAAAG